TTCCACGATACACTTCCTTGCCAGACATGTTGTGACCAGAGGCAAAACATAAGAGGAATAGGAAAGTAAGGGTAGGTACACTTATGTCGCTGAAATTTTGTGTGGAAATGTGTCTGGGCTCAAAACCCAAGAAGGACACAAGAAATAGGCACAATCCATGACACAGGTCACTGCAGGCGCTTCCTGTATTGAATGACTAGAGGCAGGAGGAACAGAAATTCAGAATTTGAACACTGCACAGGAGCGCTAACAGGGCACACTGCGATGGCTGGGCTGGAAGAGGAATTCACAGGTGTCTGCGGGTGGGGTGGGGGAGGGCAGCTGCTCCTGCGCAAAGGCGGCCTATTCAGTCGGCAGGCCCGCTGTCCTAGATCCTGCTCCTCCTCAGCTTTTGTTTCTACCCTTGACCCCGGTTTTCTGTCATATAGGAAGCATTTGATCATACTGGCTACTGCTAACAAACAGGTACAATTTTTGGACTAATTACCTAGAACGAATGTTCAGTGAGAAGGGCCAACATGAGGGTTAAATCCTGGAGACGCTGACGTAAAATGAAAGAAAACTGGGGTGTTAAAACTAGAGAAGACCAAAGAGAGACTCGAAGTGATGCATCACTGATCCAGAGGAAAAGCTGTCTGCGGGCAAAAGTTACAGAAAGGAACTCCTGGTTATTAGAGTTACCTCATAAGAAAATAATGCCACCTTGCTGAGTAGTGAGTTCCCCATCACTGAAGTGTTCCACGGGAGGCGGGCATGCACTGCAGTAGAAAACTCCTGCATCCGCTGGGAGAGCAGAATGAATGGTTTTTTAAGACCCACTCCAACTCTGAGTAAACAATGGCTAATTAACCTACTATAAAGTATGAATGGTCTCCTTCTCTTCTTAGGGAGAGTCATAAACCTGACACTAAGAGCCCCTTAACATTGTAGAAGAAAAGCACAGTGATTAACATCAGTGATGGAAACAATGGAGATGACTGGGTTATCCTTCTAAATTTCTCCTCCCAAACTGGCTGGGAAGGTGAAAGCCACGTGCCAGATTTCTCTCCTGCAATTGTCCTCTGCCCTCCTCTCCACTTCCAAGGCAAAGGGCTCTCTTCACCTTGAAAGGGCTCTTTTCGCAGAAAATAGAAACTCTCTGGATGATGATCTACCCCTCTTATTTTCTCAGCAAAATGGAACTGCATTACCCTATGCACCGGGCTGGGCCGTGAAGCTCAAGGGCACAGCACCATTCATCAGAACTGGGCCGCTCTTCTCCAGCGTGGGCATTTGTGCAGGTGGAGTACCCAGCACCGTGCAGAAGGCGTACGAGTAAACACACGTCCGACAGCATTGATTTCACTTTAAGATCTGGGGGAATAAATGTGCTTCGTATCTGTTTGTGTGGGTTTGTTCAAGAAAGTCAAACAGTACAGAAGAGAATGTAAAATTCACATAAATTTTCATGGTTAAATACAACATTTTAAAGAAAAGTGCTTGCTTACATTGGGGATATTTATAGCTATATTTAAGAATCCCTGAAGGAATGCATTGTTCCCCATAACAGGACACTTTGGTTGAAAAGTTTAATAAGTGAAGAGTTACTCTATCACCTTTAAACAGCAATTCTTGCCTTCTCTCCTTGGTTTTCCTATATGGAAGTCCAGAGGCAAGTCCAGAAAGAAGGATGTTGGTCCCTGGAGTAAACTGTGCTCAAAATCAGCTCTAAGAATGATTCTGGCCTCTAGCTAATAACCTTCTCCTATTCACACAACCCCCAAATTCTTCTAACTTCTCCTATAGATATTTAAATGCATTAATTTTCAGATTCACCCCTGAGAATATTACAAAGCTGTCTATACACACAGACATACACAAAGGATTTTCTGCTTTAGAAATCCTTATACTAAAAGCAGGAGCGTAGTTGTGAAAACCTCCTGGCCCCACATACACATGTAAGCATGATCTGGAAACGGCAGGCTCCCAAGCGCAAGCCTTCTCTGGGGGTAGGGGAGACAGGCAGCTTTCTCTTGCAGAACTTGAGAATGTGGGAGAACACCCTTCCCTACTATTCACTTATGGCAGCTGAAGTTTCGGGCGCTGGTTCAAGCATTTTCATGTGCCGTCTCATATGCTTATAAAGCAGGTATTACTGTTCCCAATTTACATGCGAGGAAACTGAGTATCAAGGGTATGAGATTTGCCCAAGCCGACTGCTAACTTAGCAGTGACGCAACTGGGATTCAAGCTCAGGTCTGGCTCCAAAGCCATATCGTTTTCCCACCATACACCATATGTCTTTTTTCCACTTATTCTTTTTCTTCCTTCTAGTAGTTTGCTTCCCCCCTCCCACTTTTTAAACAGACTCTTTTCTTATTACAGTAATTACTGGATTGCTTACCATCCACCTAAAGTTCAATCCAAGGCTTTCCTTTCCTATTAGCAATCGTGATGCTGGGGTTAGGTTTTATCAAATGTGTGGCTGCTTTGTTCTCACAGAATCTTCTGCTGTGCTGGGATTATTTAACTGCTATTAGAGCATAATCAATGCTTCGGCTGTCCGTAGGAAGGTCTGACACAAAAGCACCCATGAATCGGTCTAACCAATCTAAACTGTAGCATTTATAGCTCTCTTTCCTTAACTGGTGCAGTTTTCTGTTCACAGCTGGAATTCTGCTTATTTGTATGTAGCAGGGCAAGGTTAATGGCCACAAAAGATGTGGCCTATATCTTCCCTGCAGTAGCACACAACTCCCTCCCTATCAATCTGTCCTGGGTAAAATAAAATGGAAACCAAATGATCCAAATTGATTTTTATTTCCAACATCTCTGGATACAGATATAAGGCTATCTCATTCTAAACAAACATCTCTTTCTGGTTAAAAAAAAAAATCATTGATTCTCTCCTCTCTTTCCTACAAATCTATCAATTTCTAAAACCACCTGTCCATTTTTCTCTTTTGCTCCACACTTATAGCTTCACTCTGTCTGACCTCTTTTCGTAAAACATCATTGTAATTTTGCCAGTGTTTTCTCTGATGACTAGATAATTTACTCCACGCCCTTCATAACCCTGTTTATAATTTCGTAGCCCTACCAAAGTCAGTTTCACTGTTCATTCCAGATAGGCACTCAGCCAACATATTGCCAATAACATTCACTCATGTGCTAACTTAAAATATACAATACAGCTTGCCAAGTTTCCTTATTTGGCAAGAAGGTCCCTTAGTTCCCAAGATCTTTGACCATCCATTTTTAGATCCAAATCCTTGTGCTTAATATTTGGTTATTTCTCTATCTCTCTCTCTCTGTCTATCTCTCTCTGTCTCTCTCTCCCTCCCTCCTCTTTTCTCTCTCTCTCTCTCTCCTTTTCTCCCTCTCTTCCACTTGTTCTTATGTGTTCCCTGAAAGAGATCAAACGCCTATATGTTTTCCTGAACAACAACAAAAATAATGTCTCATTACAGTTATTTACTCTGAAATTATTAGCACTAAAACTTTTGATTTAAACAATATTTTCTATATTAAAAAAATCCTCCCAAAATAATCCCCAAAAAAGTTATCCTAAGAATTAAATTGCATAAGATTAAAATAAACAGTACACATTGCTCTAAAAGGCCCTTTTTCTTTATTTTAATTCTCTCTTTCCAAACAAACTAAATTCATATTCATTTACAATTTCCCAAATCTCTTGCTATTGTAGCAGAAATTTAAAACAAAGGCTCTACAAATGACCAAAACCATAATCAAAATGCAGCCATCACATATTTTTTTTGAAAATCAAAACCTTGAAATTTCACTGTGAAGACAGGCCTACTGCAAAGAAGACATTAACTGTCTTGAATCACTTGTTTATTTTTGTCTTTAAATGTGCTGGTAGGTTTGGATCCACTGAATCCTGGCTGTTCAAGTCAACTGAGTTCAAAAAAGCAAGAGGATTCTCCTCAAACAGCTTCAGGGTTAAAATATGACTGTATTTTAACAATCACCTTAGCTCAAATATCCTCCAATTAAAAATGTAAATTGATTCTAATACACCATTATTGATGAGAGAGCTGCTTATTGTAACATTTGGCATGTGCCACTAAATGATGTTGCTTTCATTGTTAAAGAAACTAACAAAAATAGTAATTAAGTTCTCCATAAACAGTGTTTTTGCAAGGTCTCCAGGCGTATCCGAAACATATTTTTCAGCACTCTTACAATGCCCCCCATTTTATTTTGTTTTTTTGGCAACTGGATGTACTCTGGCCAGTTCTGTATTAAAGTTTTTCTACAAGCTGTCAGGAGCAAGCGAGGCGTGGCGGCGGCCTCAGCACTCCTCTCCTGGTCTGGTGCTGGTCTCAGAGCTCATGAAGCCGGGGACGCCACTGCGTAGGCAAAGGGGTGATCCTCAGCCCCCAAGAAAAGAAAAGAGGGACGCTGGAGGGTGCAGGTTGGCGCTAGCTCCAAGCTGCCCAGGGTAGGGCGGGAAGTGGCCACTCTGGGTGGGAGATAACGCTCCCGACCCGTCAGCAAAGGAGAAGTTTGCGGTCTCCCTTGGCAAGCACACACCTCTTCTGGAAAGTGGCCTGCACCCTGCCCTGATTTGGGAAACTCTAGTTTCGCTTCCTGAGCAGCGGCTGGCGCTCGGTGTTGCCCGATCGGTGGAGGAAAAAGCGGCTCGGGAAGCGCCCCACGCTGCGCCGCATGCCAAGGGCCGAGAAAGCAGTAGACGCTCCGGGCTGCACCCTGCTCTTCTCGGTGCCAACTTCTGCATGGGACCGGCCCAAACTTCCCAAGCCGCTAGTGGCCGAGCTGGGGCTGAGATCTGGCACTGAATCCGTTAGAGCGCTCGCTCCCACCGGTGCTCTGGTGGGCTCCAGATCGGGGAGGGGGGCCTGGTGGGGACCCCGCAGGCCGGCCAGGCTCCCGGGCCCATCTCCGCCTGGGCCGAGGCCCAGAGACTCTGGGACGACTCGCAAGCGCGGCGGGCCTTCCTCGCATCTCTCCCTCCCCGGCGTCTGCCTAGCTCTTACCTGGCTCCCGGGCCGGACGCGAGCAGCAGCCAGGCGCGCCGAGGCCCCGCGCGCGGCGAGGGCAGGGGCGGCAACCAGGGGTCGAGAGGACGGCGGCCCGTGCGGCTCCCACGCTTCCGCAGGAGTCAGGAGTTGAACATTCCGCCTCTCCACCCCGCGCCAATGAGGAAGACAGTCACGGCAACAGCACCACCTACCTCTGATCGTGGAACGGCTGGGCCTCCCTGCCCGCGCCCTGCAAGCCCGAGGTTGGGCCGCAGCTCCGAAGCGTCGGCGACCTGGGCGTGGGGCGGTGCTCGGGGCTAGCGGGCCTGCACCCCGATGGGCACTATCCACCCTAGCACCCTGGAGCCCACCAGGCACCTGGCCCCCGCTGGTGGGGCTGGGAGCGCTCAGCGGGGGAGGACTGCCCTCTCGCCGCCGGGGGCGCAGGGAGAGGGCCTGTGCCTCTGCACCCTTTTTTACTTTCACAGATTTTTAAACGTGTTACCACCACCTATCCCGACAACTCAGTCCTTTCCCACAAACTAAAAATATGGGAGGTTGCTTTGTGCCCTAAAGGACTTATTTATTTAGTTAGAAAGGGGACAGACATGATAATTCTGAGGAGTTAGGGCTTTAGACTGCCTCAGTGGATCATTCATAGATACCTACTGAGGAGAGGTCATGGTCTGCTGCCTTGGTTGGTGACTTTAACAAAGCTGAGTTCAAATGAGGACATTAAAAACCATGCTAGGTGTGAGCAAAAGGTGGAAGCAGATATCAGGAAGGATGGTCCTGTGGAGGAAAGGTGAGACGATATTGCAAACTTATGGCAACTTTAACCCGGGAGCTGAGTTTGGAGTTTATCGTTGGACACTGGGAACAAGTGGAAAGCTAGAATCAGAGGGGTCGAATAGGTCTGTGTCTTTTTATTTTAATGGTGAGAGAGAGAGAGAGAGCGAGCTTGCCCCGTGCAAGCGACCTGAGTAGGCCACGTGGTTGTAGGATGAGTTGCCAGGGCAAAACTGGGACGCAGCATGTGTGGTAAATATTGTCACTGCCTGGGAATGGGATTGTGAGAACTTGAGGAAGAGTGCACAAAATGGAGTTAGAAAAGAAGGAATGGAATTGAGAGACATGTTTCAGGAGGAAGTCCCACAAACCGGTGATCTATTAGATGTAGAAGAGCAGGGAAGGTTCAGGGATGATGCCCAGGTTTCAGACCTGGGTGGCTGGAAGAGCGATTGTGTCATTGACAGAAATAGGGGCATGTGGAGGAGAAGCTGGCTTCCTGCTGAGCTGAGGTCATGGGAGGAAAAACAGGTAGGGATGCAGCGATTAAAATATGAAGCTGGGTTTCAGAAAAGAGGTCAGGAGGGAAATATATTGTAAATCATTCGTATAATTAGATATTAAAATAGAGGGATGGGTAAATACAGATCAAAAAACAGCTTTCTAGTCTGTTATTCAGATTCATTATGAAATTTTCCCTTTGATAAGAGAAATTTTAGCATGGATGGATTCTACTTCCATAACTGAGAAATTAGGATGGATGAAAACTGTCATTCTAAAAAAAAAAAAAATCTTAACATAGGTAATCAAATAATTCTAAAAACCACCTAAACATTAATGGGAAAACTAAGGCTCTCTAGCATAGACCTGGGCCTCAGGCAACAGCAGTCATTTTACCCCACCTACAAAGGCACTCACTGCATCCTGGTATGGAGGACACGAGACTGAGGGTCAGAGGAAGTGGCTTGTGGTCTTAACCCTCACCAGCTGGTCACTCACCAGCTGGCTGTTTTGCTAGACAGACCTCAGTTTTCTCCTCTGAAAAATAAGAAGACCCACGTAAACATTAGCTACAGGCTCCAGCTTTAAAACTATAAAAATATTGCTTTAAATTTGGAGCATGTGCCTTAAGAGAATATTTTTAGCCAATTCTGCTTCTTTCCCATCTATTTTTTCTTCATTCTATTTTCCTCTTATAAAAGAATAACCAGCAGGAACAGTGAACACCAAAGAGGAGTCTCACAAACATGCTTAAATGACAATCAGGTAGACATTCTCTTGTATTTTCAATTATGTTGCAAGCTCCTTGAGGTCCTATCTTATATTCTATTGCATGTGTTCATGGCTGAAATATGTACATAGTTGTGTTAGAAACTGATTGCCTCAAGTATGATTCTTCTTTGCTCAAGTTGCTTGTTTCCTTATGACTAGACTGAGCTCTTTAATCCCCAGACCCATTAACTATAGTCTAGTGCTTATTCCCATGGCTGACTCTGCTTTTGGAAGCATATTGGTTAATTTTCACCTGTATAGGTTTACCAATGTAAATAGCAATAGCAAGAGAAACCTAGTCAAACCTCCTTTATGAAGTCTTCCCATTTCTTTATTTCAAATGCCTCTATACTAAAAATAGATGTACTCTCAGGAGTGGGGTGGATTGATAGTCCTTAGCACCCACTTATAACCAAGAATACCCTCCGAAAAAAACATGCAACGACACTAAAACCAATGTATTTGCTATGCAAATTTAGCTTAAGGAAAAAAGTCTCCTAGGCTCTCATTCAATTAGATTGTTGTCCCTAAGCTACTTTGTTTTCAAAGAGTTTATTTATTTAATTTTAGAGAGAGGGGGAGGGAGAGAAAAAGAGAGGGGGAAAAGACATTGATGTGTGACAGAAACATCCATAGGTGCCTCTTGCACATGCCCCAACTGGCGACCAGACCTGCAACCCAGGCATGTGCCCTGATTGGGAATCAAACCAGCAACCTTTCAGCCAGCACCCAGCCCACTGAGTCACACCAGTCAGGGCTCTAAGCTACTCTTAAATCGAAATTCTGGAACTGCCACCAGTTATCAGCAGATCAGGGAAGTGCAGACAAAAATTCTATTAAGGATAGACTGAAAAGCAACTTCATAGGAAGAAAGCATTCAATGTACCCTTCCCTCCCCTTACTGTGATAAGAGCTATGATAAGAGCTGGTACCCAGGAGCATCTTTGCTAGCCATCTCCATTCTCCACCTTAGATGATGAGTAGTCTGTGTGCGGATCATAGCTAAGAATTAACCACCTTTTATCTTTATCTCCTGTAACACTCTGAATCCCTGGGAAATTAAGGCACACAATCAAAGTTTAAGATATGTAGCCATTACCTTAAAATCACAAACGGAGACCATGCCATTGTTTGAGCTTAGTTTTCACATGTAACTTGAGGACTCGAGATTCACAAGAATATTTTGGGTACCAAATTTGCTTCGGTGTTCTAGAGCATGAAAGGAGCGGTAGGGCAAGAAGAGAAATCAGGGACATTTGCAAAATTTATACAACAAACATTTATTGAATGGCAGGCACTGTGCTGAGCTCTGCGATTCTAACAGAGACTCGGGCATGGTCCCTACTGTCAGAGTTTTCAGAGTGCAAGGGAAAAGCCGGAAAAGTCAGAGGAAATTATGCCGTGATGTGCTCTGAAAGAGGGAGACACGGGGGCTTACACCAGGGCACCTCATGGTTTTGGGAGGTCAGTGAAGGCTTCCAAGTCAAGGAACTGCGAAGGCCCTACAAGAAGAACAAAGAGAACTTGCTGGACAAAAATGAGGGAAAGGTATGATAGTGGGAACAACAAGAACATTTAACAAGTTCAAGGAATAAATCCCTTCAACATCTGAGTAAACACATTGCAGGTATAATAGCCCTCATGGTGGTAGTAATAGTAGTAGCAGTAGCAATAATAATACTAATGATCATCATCATCATCATCATAATTGCGACTGCTAATATTTACTGAGTGCTCGTGTGCCACACACTGAACTAGGAGTTTTACATTCATGGCCCCTCTTCGTTATAAACCTTCCATTAGGTAATACCAACACATAATCGTGTGTCTTTGCTAGCTACTACTCCTTTCTCTTCAATATGTTTTTTTGTTTTGTTCTGTTAACTGATATGCCTGATCTCTATGTTTATTTTGCTTGCTTCCAAAAAGTCTATAACCAAGCAATATAGTTCTGATCTACCTAGAGAGAGGAGAGCAGGGTATAGGAATGACTATTTGCCAGCAGCTGGCCCAGGCCCCCTCAAGAGTGGATTAACTGGTCTATTATAATCAGAATTCCAGAGTCACTTTTTCAGTCACTCTTCTTTTGTGTTATTTTTTTCTCGAGTTGGACTTTTCCAATGGATATTTTTTTAAGTTCTACCTGCTGCTTTGTATTTTTACCACCATTGGCTTTTACCTAACTTTTTAAGGTCCATTTCTATTAAGCTCCTGTATGCATTGTTGTTTGTAACACCTTCCAATTTAGTATCATCTGCAAATTTCATTAACACGCTATTTACTCCCTCTTCCAGGTCATTAATAAATTCTATTTCTTATGTATTAAATTTTGTGGTCGAATAGATTTAATTTGCTGTTGTAATGCCAATGCATGTTTTCTAAAGATACAATGAAGTTAAGAATGGCCTTACCATCGGCTTAAATCCATACTCAGTTTACAGTTATTTTACTATTATGCAATTCATTTGTGTTCTCTAATCAGCGCTGTTGTGAGCTTCATTGAAGCAATATTCTATTGATTTTCGCTTCCCTCTTTTTCAATACAGTCATCACCTTGGCTTTAAATGCACAGCAATAGCAAAGTTAGAACTATTGTATTCTAACCCATAGCTATTTATAAAAGAAAATTAAGTCTTTTTTCTCAGTGGATATTCCTTCATTGATATAAGAAATATTCTATATTTAAAAATTATTTCATAATCATATTTCATTTGTCTATGCATGGTCTCAATGTTTTAAACAAATAGATTTTAGATCTTTTTAAATTTCTTTTTTTTTAAAGATTTTATTTATTTTTAGAGAGAAGGGAAGGAAGGGAAAAAGAGCTGGAGAGAAACATCAATGTGCAAGAGATACATCCATAGCTTGCCCCTAACTGGGGGTCTGGCCCACAACCCAGGCATACGCCCTGACTAGGAATTGAACCAACGACTTTTCGGTTCGCAGGTCACACTCAGTCCATTGAGCCACACCAGCCAGAGCTAAATTTAGATCTTTTTAAAAGCATGTAAATATAACATATTACACTTATATATTAAATAAGTATACTGTAAATATATATTTATTAATATAATACATATATATATTAGGGGTATATGTGTATTTTCTAATAATCTGCTCCCTGCTTCCCTGACTCCTAGAG